CACCACAAACTCGTCTAGATAAGGCTTAAAGACACGATTCATTAGATCCATAAATGTTGCCGGTAAGTTAGTAACTCTAAAGGGTATAACCAGAAATTCATAATGACCGTACCGAGTTCGAAAGGCTGTTTTCTCCATATCATCAGCTTTGAGCTTTAATTGATGGTATCCGGACCGCAGATCAATTTTAGAAAAGACCTGTGCCCCTTGTAACTGGTCAAATAAATCGTCAATCCGTGGTAAGGGGTACTTGTTCTTGATTGTTACCTTATTGAGTTCCCCATAATCAATACATAGCCGAAGTGTTCCGTCCTTCTTTTTCACAAACAAAACTGGCGCACCCCAAGGAGATACACTCGAACGGATGAATCCCTTATCAAGAAAATCCTGTAACTGAATCTTAATTCTTTCATTTCAACTGGTGACATCCTATACGGGGTCTTAGAAATAGGTTGAGTTCCCGGCGCCACTTCAATTATAAACTTAATTTCACGGTCTATCAACTGCCCTAACAATTCTTCTGGAAAAACATCCAGAAATTCACGAACCACTGGAATCACGTCAATATCCCCATTCATCAGTTGCCCCTCCAAAACACTACATAAATACCCCTGACACCCTTTCTAAATTAATTTACAAGCCTTTGCTGCCGAAATCACATAAGGTGGAGAAGTCACTTCCTGTCCCTGAAAAATAGATTCTGGTTGTCCCGGAGGGTGGAAACTGATTTGCTTCTTCAGACAGTCTATAGTTGCACCATATTCACTCAACCAGTCCATACCCAGAATAATGTCAAAATAGGTTAAGTCAAGAGGTAGCAGATTGGCATACACTTGGATATCCTCAAGTTGGAGTTCACAAGCAAAATATACAGAAGCACAAATCATAGAGTCTCCCAAAGGTGAAGACACACATAACATATATGATTAAGGTTCCTCAGATTTATCTAAATTTTGCACAAATAATTTTGACACAAAAGAATGGGTAGAGCCAGAATCAAACAATACATGAGCTGAATAACCGTGAACCATAAATGTACCTGACACCACTGTCGCAGCATTCTGCACATCCCCGGAACCAATGCAAATGCCCTGCCTTACCTCGCAGTGTCTTTGCTGTTAGCAGGTTTTGCAACTGACTTGGTATTGGAAGTTAGTGCAGACCCTACTGAACTTGTAACAGCTTTGTTATTATTTTGTCGATTTCCTTGAGGACAATCCCTTATTAGATGACCCGTTTTGCCACATCGGAAACATGCTCCAAACAGTCGATGACAAACCCCACGGTGCCTCCTTCCACATTCTAAACACACAAGGGCTGAATCTTGAGTAGAAGTAGTTGTGCTGGAGGTCCCTGAATTTTGCTTCTTATTTGGCGGAGTAGTTGTCCCCTTTGACCACTGAGTATTCTGCCTCTTCCCTTTCCATTCAGAAATTCGGTTCTAAGTAGTGAGGTTTCCTTCTGCTATAACAACCCTCTCCAATACATCGACATAAGTGGGTAACTTCAACTTGTTGACCTTGTCTAGTATAGCACTCCGTAATCCCCCTTCAAATTTACGTGCCTTCTTATAATCTGTGTCCACCATATGAGGTGCAAACCGTGCTAGTTCTGCAAATTGAGCTTCATATTCAGCAACGATCTTGTTCCCTTGTTGAAGAGTCTCAAATTCGGTCACCTTCTTGTCTCGTATACTTTGGGAAAGTACTTATCATAAGTGGGTAACTTCAACTTGTTGACCTTGTCTAGTATAGCACTCCGTAATCCCCCTTCAAATTTACGTGCAAACCGTGCTAGTTCTGCAAATTGAGCTTCATATTCAGCAACGATCTTGTTCCCTTGTTGAAGAGTCTCAAATTCGGTCACCTTCTTGTCTCGTATACTTTGGGAAAGTACTTATCATAAAATAACTCCAAGAATCTGTCCCATGCTAATCCTTGATGTATAGTTCTTGTAAGCATCCACCATCTCCGTGCCTCGTCCTCAAGAGTGAAGGCAGCCAGTTGCACTTTTTGGGCTTCGGTGCAAGGAAAAACTTCGAATAACTTTTCTATCCCCAACACCCATGCCTCAGCTTTCATTGGTTCTATCCCTCCTTTGAATGACAGCGGTTTCATCTTTTTAAACTCCTTGGTAAGGGTAATAGTTCAGTCTTCAGCATGGAAATCTTGTACTACAGGTGGAGGTACCGATGGTGGTGGCAGTTGCGGCTGTTGTTGTTGTTGCCGTAAGGTTTCCGCCATTTCCATAATCATCATTTCCATTCTGTCCAATTGTGCAGAAGTGGCATCTTCCGGATCTTCTGCTCTTGTTCTCACCATAATTTACACAACAATCAATTATATACCATAGACATAGTTCAAATTGTTAGCATTAGCAGTGTAGGCTTAACGTTGCCATCAATCTTTCATATACTTCCAGGATGTCGTGCATGATACCTAAATCTTTTCTAGACACCCTAAAACTCAATGGATCCGTGTGTGAGATAGCAACTCGTGCTCTGATACCACTTGTTACGCCCCAAACCCGCCCTTAAAAGTTTGGGCATGACCTTATGCAGAAATGGACATTTAGCCTAATGTACATATCATATGGGGCCTGAACGGAAGCATTTAATATTATAGAATAACATAAAATCATATCCATTGAGCTACTATTGCCATGCCAGGATCACAAATAGTACATTCAGTAAAGAAACGTACAAAAGACATGTTCCTGAAAAGTAGTTATACACATACGGATATACAGTTCCAGCCCCGAGGCTGGGCGTATGACAAAACATTATTGACATTTCAACCGTAAACAGACAATTAGAATACAAGCCAAAGCTTGACCAAGAGTGCACAAAAATAAGACGGCTCCACCTAAGTGCCTGGACACATTCAAGTTGACAAAAGATAGATGAGCCTTAAGAGTTAAGACTGGCTCCCGGGGTGAGTACCTGCAGAAACAGACAAGATGTGGAGTGAGCGAAGCTCAGTGAATAATAGTACTTATACAGCTCGATGCACAGTTTAAATTATAATACACCACGCGTATGTAACTACAGAGTTCCAATGATTAATCCAATGCTGTTTTACTTTCAGAACGGCCTTAGGCCCAGATATAACAGAACGGCCATCAGCCCTGAAATAACAGAACGGCCATCGGCCCTGAAATAACAGAACGGCCATTGGCCCAGAATGATCCAGATGTACCCAAATTCCTTCAATGTTTACATTCACATCAATTTCCAACAAACACATGTTAATGTAACGACTTACGGAAAACAAAACGTTAATAGCAATAAGCATTAACGGTAAATGAATGTATATCTATTGCACTATTACTCACAGTGTCGTGGCGGGACACTGGTTCCTTTCGGAGTATGCCCTACACACACATACAAGTCACAATTAATCCTTGTTCTTTGTTAATCATTTCCAGACTCGCTTTGGTTCGAACAATTTACAGATATCAAAAAGGCTTCAAATACAGATTCTAAAAATATTTGAGGGACGAGCACGTAAAACGGAGCAAACCAACTTTTCTGTCATGGGCCGCACGTGCGGCTGTGAGCCCCCCACGTGCGGCAAAGGCTCCAGCACGTGTGGCTAGAAATCCTCGCACGTGCGTTTTTAGCAGTTGCAAAACTCACAAATTTCCTATTTTCCCGTACGTGCGGCGATTCTGCACAGGTTCAGCCCGAAATTTCAACTAAACTCATCTTTTGGCAAATGTTTACAAGGTTCCAAATAGGTGTAAAACATATGTTAATAAGAGTTACAAACTCACACCAATCTAAACTTTAACTTCTTAAATCCATAAACATGATTCAAGGAACTCAATTCTTTTTAATATACAACATCACACATGTAATTATGTAGGTACAACATGAGGAATCAAGCAATATAAAATAGTTCCTTTGTATAAACATAACATCATCCAAGTGACAAAACTTAATCCAAGGTAACAATGATCATACACTAAGTTCACTTTCAAGTCTTAGATTACACAATCATAAAGAATTCTCACTCAACTTTAGGAGAGGAGTTACAAAAGACAAGGAAGCTTACTTTTTGAGCTTAAATCTTTCAAACCCCCTTCAATTCTCTAATCTTTGATCCTTGGTGAAGCTCTCTTCTAGACCCTTTTTCTCTACTTCTCACCACCCTCTCACAGGAGATGTATTATTGTAACCAAAGCTCTTAAGTCAACTAGATAAGGAACACAAGTATGCATATATATAAATGTGGAGATAAGGACAAAATCGAATCAGTTTACACATTCCAAATTGAAATTTCAGAGAATTGCTTGTTATTACCTAAATATTATGCCGATCTCATATGTAACATCAATTTCGGAATATCAAGCCTCTAAGGCTCCTAATTTTTGTTGTACACGTTTTAATTGTAACAGATGCTTTTCTTATCAAATAGATAAAATCACAAAAATTTTTCATTAAGCATTTAAATGCACAAAATAAGGGACTTAAATATGTTAGAAGCACATGCGAGGGTCGGGTTATTACACTACCCATCAAAGAGGAGGCAAGTATTCATATAAATATCAAAGTACAATTATTAATTTATATGTTTTTTTTTTTTGCATAAAAGCAAATATTCAGTAGGTTTTTCTTTATTATAGTTCGGACTTTTAAAACAGAACAAATTTACTTTGTTCGGTTCTGAAAGCCTGAATGCGAAATTCACCCTCTCATCCTCCTTTGCCGGTGTCGGGTTCCCTGGTCGTCCCTATATGTACGTGAACAAAAGAAAGATTTTGCAAAAGATTTTTAAAAAGTAATTTGAATTTTTTTAATTTATTTTATTTGGATGTACCTCAAAAGGGTAATTTAAAATTTTTTAGAAAAAACATCATAAATAAATTATAACCTTAAATAATTTAATTAAGATATATTAAAAAATTATACTTATTTAAATTTTTTTTTTTTTGTTGTTGGTCTAAGTAGAATTCCCCAGCACCCGAAGATTGTGAAGAAATGCCCATTAATCGATTGGGCTATGAAAGCCTTTTTACCCAATACTTCCAACAAAATTTCTCAGGTGATTAAACCCTCTCTCCTTCCTGTGGTCCATCAAGCCCAAACCCAAAACCCCAACATGACGACTCGCTCCTCCGCCCTCCTCCGCCGTTCGCTGCCGTTCGCCGCCGCATCTCGCTCCTCAACAACCTTCCCCCAAGCCTTTCATGAATGTCAGTCTCAATACACAACCACCGCCACCACCGAGGCGGTGGCTGAAACCACGGACGATGACAAGAAGAAAGGCAAGTGGTTCACCTTGCCGCCGTTCGTTTCGACCGTCGACGGCGCTGCGCTGGGGAAGGAGCTCTCAGGGCGGCGGTCCGAGAGAAAAGGGGATGCCGCCGCCACCACGACGGCGCTTAAGTGGGTTCTGAGGTGCTGCCCTCAACTTCCGAGGTCTCTCGTTCAAAAGCTCTTTCGCCTGAGACAGGTCTAGCCCTAAAGCTCAACGAGTCTAAATACGTGTTAATCCTCTGTTCAACACACTCTCACACACACCTCTGGAATTATAATTGAAATCATTTTTGAGAGAGAGAGGGGGGGGGGGGTTTACCTTGTGGAAAATTCTGTTCTTACATAAAATTCATGAAAAATTTTTGACAAGAATGATTTGGCAATACCATAATAATGTGGACGTTTCGTTTTGAAGTGAAAGGTATGGATTTTTTTTTGTTTATATAGCGTTACTCAAAATTAAGAAAGTAGTTTGTTGGGACACTTGACCTCCCACAACTAGAGTTGATGTCCTCATCTCCTGCAACTTTCTTCAATTCCGTAGTGATTTTTGTACCTGTTTTTTATGATTTAATACTCACATCCTAATGCCGATGTGATATACAGTGTTGCCTGATGAGTTTATATTTTGTTTATGAAGAATTGCTGATTGTAGTGTGATTTCATCCCATGTTCACTAGATTGTAGTTTTGGCTTTTGTTTGAGGGTTGTCAAAGCTGAAATACGATGTGGTGAATTGAAATTTAGCCAATGCCTCCCATGATTTAATTTTTCTACTTTTGGTTTGTCTTACAAATGAGATGTGAATTTTTCAAGTTGTACTGAAATTTGAGACCATGGTGGAAAGTATAACAGTAAAAAAGGGGTTCTTTAGTTCTTCTCCTTAATTGTGAAAAAATGCTATATTGCAGGTTCGAAGAGAATCCTCTGACTTTGCAACAAGTTTTGATTTGGGTGTTAAAGCACATGAACATCAACTTAGAAGGGTATCACTTCACTTGTGTCCTCTCTTCATTAAAATGGCTTTTTTGCTTGGATGCAAGCACATTATCTATCTGTTTTGCATATACAAAGAAAACTTTCCACTGTTGTTTCCTCACAATTCTGATGAGTGCAACTATTCTTTCACGTGATATATATTATTCGAAGGTGGCTGCTAAGGATTCAATGAACTTAGGAGATCAAATATTTCTTCCTGTAACTGTTCAAGAGTTTCCCTCTGACAAACCCAAGTGCTTTCACAATGAAGAAGAAATGAACTTTCTCCACAGCCTTGAGTTGTATAAGGTGCTTATAATTTGCCATTAGGCTGCTTTAAGATAGCAGTGGCGTTTTTTTTCTTCTAAAATATGACTTAATGTGTTCCAATATTCAGGATCCAGCCATTATTGTTGTGAATAAACCCCCTGGAATGCCTGTTCAGGTTAGTTATTCACATCTTCATATTTTATTTCTTCTTATTCAATCAGATTTTGGCTATTGAATTTCCTAATTAATTAATTTACCTTAACAGGGTGGAGCAGGCATTAAAAAAAGTTTAGATGAATTAGCTGCAACTTATTTGAGCTATGATTTCCCAGAACCCCCTCGACTGGTAAGCTTTCATTTACGTTCAATATATGCAGCATAGCTTTATTGGAATAAAAGTTTGTTATAATACCAACATATCACATGCAAGTTTCCAGGAGGATTTTTCACCCTCTGATTGCATTTTTTTATTTTTTATTTTTTTGAGATCAAACATTCTGCGTGTGTTAATTAGCCTTTATCCTCTGTGTCAAACCACCGCATTTATGGAATGTCACCTGAAAACTGATCCAACTTTGTTGTAACAAGAGAAGAATTATGGGCTCCACCAGAAATAGAAAAGTCGTGTATTGATATGTACAAACTTTGGAGTTGTTTCAAACTGTGTAATCCACTGGTTGAATCGATACATTGAGGGTTCTTTTTTCTCTATATTTTGTTTTGTTTTGACTGCATTTTGCACCATTAAAGTTCTTCATCTTAAATTACTACTTGGATGGAATATTTAGCTGTCAGAATCATTTTTTATACTACTGTTAAAAAAATTGGTTCTTATTAGGTGCACAGACTTGATAGAGATAGTAGTGGCATCTTGGTGATGGGGAGGACGCAAACAAGTACTAGAGTTTTGCATTCCATATTCCGCGAGAAGACTTTTGGAGCATCAAATGATGTGTGTCATTTTCTACTCCTTTCTGTTTGTGTTTCCTTTGAAGTAATACAATTGGTTACTCATTTCCCCTCGAAGTTCAATCTGATATCATTTTGTCATTTTCTAGGGTTTGCTCAACAGAAAGAGAATTTTGCAAAGGAAGTATTGGGCACTTGTCATTGGGTCTCCTAGACGTGCTGCAGGAGTAATCTCAGTTCCGTTAAAAAAGGTTAGACAGTCTCTATTCTCAGTGACCTTGGATTAAGAGCTTCCTTGTTGCACGGTTACATTAGATTCCTTAGTACCAATTATGATATAATAAGGCATGATTTCATTATAGTTCTAGTTTTAGCAAGGACATTATTGCCTTGGGCATAGAGCTGGAGAGGGGATGCTGAAGAAATTAATCATTTCTAAGTTACATTTGAAGGCATGCTTAATCATTGAGTCTCGACTTGCATACATCTTGTTCACTCTCTCTTCATGCTCATGTATCAGGGGAGGTTGATAATAAAAAGTTGCATGGAGTACTCCTGCAATCTTAGAAGATTTAACTAATGCTTTACTATTGACTTTTTTCAGGTGATAGTGGATGATGGAAAATCTGAGAGAATAACTGTTGTTGACAATGCTGAAGTGATGTCATCTCAGCATGCCATAACAGAGTATCAAGTGATTGAATCTTCTTCTCAAGGTGAGCTCTGAATAGATACCTATGTGTTGATGGCACCTATACAAGTACTATCAGCGCGCACAGCTAATTAGTTTGAGTATATATGATGGTTTATGCTTTAGTGAACAATTTATGAAAAAGAGGAATAAACTGCTTGAATTGATTTGCCTAACCATTTAAAAAATGTAAAATTTATCAAAATATGAAAATAAAATGCTTAAAGCATTATTATTTTACTGATTTTGGTAGTGCTGCTCTTGTAAATGGGACTATCAGGTTGCCAATCCTTGAAATAATCAAACCATATGGCTGATGAGTTGCTAATGTAAAGGTTGTAAGATCTAATTTTCCTTTTTTTTCCCTGTGTGTATGTCTAAATGATATGGTTAGAAAATTTTATTTCTTTTTTCTTCTTTCTCACAGATTATAGGGTTAGACTACCTCAGAGCTTGAAATGCAGTCTTCACCTTATATCTCTCATCTTCTATGATATGTTTCTTTTTGTTTTTGTTATTATTTTTATTTTTGTGAGCAAAATATGTTTCTTATGATAGTTGTAAAAACAGCAGGTTATACATGGCTAGAACTGTCTCCTCTCACTGGTAGAAAGCACCAGGTATGGATTACAGCCTCACAACTCTCTATTCTCCTGACTTCCAAATGACTTTATTACATCATGAGTGACTCATAATAACACTGCTTAAATTCTTCTATCCATGTGCTGATAAAAAAAGCTTCGAGTACACTGTGCTGAGGTATTGGGTACACCTATAGTCGGAGACTACAAATACGGATGGCAAGCTCATCGGAAAATGAAACATCTGCCTAACCCTAATCTTGAAATGGACCCGAACGAACAGTTCCCCAAGGGAACTAGACTTCCCTTGGGTCTTGATTTGGACAAGGGAAGCATTCTTGAAAGGCAGCCCCATCTACACCTTCATTGTAAGGAGATGGTTTTGCCTGATGTCTCTACTGCTTTGTACCATTTGCAATTTTCATCAAGTTCTGACCTTACCAGTCTGGATAGCCTAAAATTAGCCGCTCCTTTGCCTTCACACATGGAAAAGAGTTGGAACATTCTGAATTCTTGAGCCCTAATTAATTAGGTTCTTGAAAGTTCTCTTCACTCTCATTGGGAATCGTATTATCGTCCATTCTGAGCAACAAATGGAGAAGTTATGTTATTACTCTCATCAGTATGCTAATATGGGTCCAATTATTTCCAGTAATCACTGTCAAGCACTAAGCGAATGGATCAGACGTATATAATTGGAGATCGCTCACTCTCTTGTGCTTCTGCTAGTGTCGCCCACCCAAGCATAGTCCAAAAATGAAGTACAATGCATGATTTAAAGCTTCTGATGTGCTACTTATACCATGTGAAGGTTATGCATTCTGATGCAATTTCCCGCAGATTGGTTTTATATTCTGCTTTCTCTTGTTATGTTCACCAGCCTGACTGTCAGAGAAGCTGTGGAAAAGAACAGGTACATCATCTTCATCAGCTGCCATATCGCAGCAGGCAGTGATCAAACCTCAGGCAATCTGAAAGGAAAACAAATGTGATCACAAAACATGAAGTTTGGGGCCCTGGTTGTGGATCCAAATATTGCTGGGTGTTTTTTATTTTTATTTTTTTGGGGGGGTTTCTGTTAAGAAATTTTGGACTGCTCTTAATTTATTATTAATTTACCATAGCATTGTATTTTTTGATTTAGTAATCCTTTGTTCTGTTTGGACTGTGAAGATGTTCTTCTTCCTTCGTTATTGTTTGGCTACATGCTTTGAAGTGATATGAATTAGTGTGCACGGTCAGTTTGAGTTAGTTTTAGAGTATAATCATAAATTAAACCATATTTTGTGGATTGAAAATTTTTAAACTTGTTGCCCACTTGTACATTTGATTGAATATTTTGACGATTTTAAATTAACACTTTGAGTGGGCTAGGAGGGATAGAAATACAAATAAGGAAAAACATCAATGAACAGACAATTTTTTTTAACAATTTAAACATAAAAAAATTAATCACTATTATCCCAAATCCCATCACAAAATCACAAAATAATCCATTGTATAATGTTATTCAAAATTAAATTTTATAAAATAATTTACAAAACAATTAAATTTAAAAAAAAATATGCAAAGAAAATAAGGAATGAGTGTTATCTGATTAATGGTTATCAAGATTAGGAAGTGATTGTGTGGAAAAATGCAACCTAATTCTGTACATATATATAAGCAAGTAAGATTAATTTACAAGCGGATTGATAAATTTTAATCCATAAGCTAATCAGCTCACCTGTCATTTAACCTACCCAACCCAACCTGCTCTCCTTTCACAAACCGCACAAATTGGATTGATTTAGTTTAAATCGACACAAATTAACTGGTTGACAGTTTTTTTTTTTTTTGGCACACTCTTATTATGAAGTGTGCGGGGGTGATTTCCGCACTATGAAGAAGGGTTGAACTTCGTGGATGAACAGCGGGCTTTGGGAATTGAAGATCTGCACAAAATAACAAACGATGAGGCTGTCCGACCGGGGTTTGGTCAGAAACCCCTCCGATGGTAAAGTCAGGGACTTACGGAGAGGAAGAAGAGAGAATACAAAGAGTGTATATATGTTGAGTGTGTGGATTTTCGAATCCCTTGAGAGTGAATAGTACTCACCTTTTATAGGAGAAAGTTGTTTGTCATTCAAGTCCTTCTCTCTCCGCCATCTGTCCAATGTGTCTTATTCATGGTCGTCTCCCATTGGAGGAGGACGACCACTCCGCCTGACACTCGGGTACAGGTCTGTTTTGTTTGTCTTGTGTGCGGGGGTGATTTCCGCACTATGAAAAAGGGTTGAACTTCATGGATGAACAGCGGGCTTTGGGAATTGAAGATCTGCACAAAATAACAAACGGTGAGGCTGCCCGACCGGGGTTTGGTCAGAAACCCCTTCGATGGTAAAGTCAGGGACTTACGGAGAGGAAGAAGAGAGAATACAAAGAGTGTATATATGTTGAGTGTGTGGATTTTCGGATCCCTTGAGAGTGAATAGTACTCACCTTTTATAGGAGAAGGTTGTTTGTCATTCAAGTCCTTCTCTCTCCGCCATCTGTCCAATGTGTCTTATTCGTGGTCGTCTCCCATTGGAGGAGGGCGACCACTCCGCCTGACACTCGGGTACAGGTCTGTTTTGTTTGTCTTATTAGCAGACATCTCTTATTGGAGGAGGATGACCACTCCGCCTGTCATTCAGATGCAGGTCTGTCATATATGTACCTTGTCCCTCTGCACCTCCATGTCTCCACGTTCTGTTCATGCAGAGGGAGAGGAGCAGAGTTGTTTGTCTCTTGTGGGCCCAAGAAAGATCTTCAGTGAATTGGCCTTCTTTGAGTTGGCCTACTCTAGAATGGTTGTCTAACCAGGAGGTCCAACATGTTGCTCAGCCCACTTCAGAGTGGTTGTCTGTTCATCCAGGAGGTTCAACATGTTACTCAACCTACTTTGGAGTGGTTGGCTGCCGGTCCAGGAGGTCCACCATATTGCTCGGCCCACTTTGGAGTGACATTCGTACATTGGGCCGAGCTCCTATGATTGTCTTGCTTCAGAGCAAGTGTTGGCCATAGGGCCGAGGTCCAACCTAGCTCAACCTCGGAGTGATCATTGCATTGGGCCTAGCACCAAGACTTGATTAATTTTTACCCACTTCATTTGCCCCATGGCTTGTGCTTACGTTTGGCGAAGCGGAAGCCAATTCTGTCACAAACTTCGAAGTTTGGTTGATCACAACTTAATTTGAGCTTTGTGAGTTGGATTCAAAATTATTGTTCGGCCCAACGTTTGCGTCTACCCAATATTTCGTAGCTCGGTTATGCCCCCAAACTAAATGTGTATCTTCACTAGCCTCGTAATTGTCTAGCTTGGTGCTCTTTCAGTCGGCTAAGCATCGTTGCTTGACTTGAAAATATATATGCAAAATAGTATATATATATTTTTGCAGTGTTCGTCGACTGGGCCGAGCAACACAGCGACGCTTCAAAGCAGGCCAAGTGTGCTTTATCACAGCTTTGTTCTAATTTGAAAGACATATTCGCTATATTTTTGCTCGGTCCTACTTGTAGGAGATAAATTGGTGTTGGTCTCAATGCTTGGTCGGCCAAGTCCTGCCCCTCCACTCTATTCGGTCTCAAAGCATAGCTTGCTAACATTGCTCAGTCATGCGGATCATGCGCCACTTTCTTGTTTGCACATCATTAGCATGTCTATTTGTTCAGCTCGTTTCTTCATATATTGGTCGGTCATTTTACCTTCTGCTTAAGAATTGTCCGTCACTTAGTTAGTCGGTCGTAGCAGCTTGTTTGCATAGTTTTTGTTTTTCAACACCGAGTTGCTTGGTCGGCCCTAGCAGCTTTGGCGTTGCGAGTTTGCATTTTTTAATTCGGTTTCTCTACCACCAAGCTACTGTCAACCTTAGCACCTCTTATCTTGAGAGTTGTCTAGCGCATAGTAGTTATAGTCTTGGTATCGACTTCGATAATATTGACTCTCGTCGGGCACTGCACTCCTTCGACCTTGCTTGTTGTTTGTAGTGTATTTATTTGGTAGAATGTTGCACTTCCAACTTTGTTTGTTGTCAATCTTTTGGTTGTTTACTCGAGCTATGAAACTTGGTTTTGCTTAGCTAGTTTTGACTCGCTTCCTTTGCTCGGTCCATTTTGGAGTGGATGTTAGGCGTCCAATCAGCCACTGTTGCTTGGTCCACTTCGGAGTGAGTATTGAGCGTCCGACCAACTTTCATTGCTCAGCCTACATCGGAATGAGTATTGGGTATCCAATCAACCTCCGTTGCTCGGCGTGCTTCAGAGTGGGTGTTGGGCGTCCAACCAACCTTTGTTGCTCAGCCTAGGCATTGGGTGTCTGACCAACTTCTGCTGCTCGACCCAGTCGTTGGGTGTCTGACCAACTTTTGTTGCTCGGCCCAAGCATTGGGCGTCCGATTAACTTTTGTTACTTGGCCCAAGCGTCGGGAATCCAACCAACTTCTATTGCTCGGCCCAAGTACTGGGCATCCAACTAACTTTTGTTGCTCGGTCCACTTCAAAGTGAGCATTAGGTGTCCGACCAAGTTTCGTTGCTTGGCTCACTTTGGAATGAGAGCTGGGCGTCCAATTAACATCCATTGCTCGGCACGCTGAAGAGTAGGCCCAACCAACCGCTGTTGCTCAGTCGAAGCGTTGGGCGTCTGACCAACTTCTATTGCTCGGCCCAGGCATTGGGCGTCCAACCAACTTTTGTTGCTCAGTCTACTTCATTCCAACTTCTATTGCTTGGCCCAGGTATTGGGCGTCCGACCAACTTTTGTTGCTCGGTCTACTTCAAAATGAGCACTGGGCGTCCGACCAACTTCCGTCGCTCGGCCCACTTCAGAATGGGTGTTGGGCGTCCAATTAACTTTTGTTGCTCGGCCCAAGCTTTAGGTGTCTAACTAACTTCTATTGCTCGGTCCAAGAGTTGGGCGTTTGACCAACTTTTGCTGCTCGGCCTATTTTGAAGTGGACGTTTAGAGTCCAACCAACCTCCATTGCTTGGCGTGCTTCAAAGTGGGCGTTGGGCATCCAACCAACCTTTCTTGTTCTGTCCAAACATTGGATATCCGACTAACTTTTGTTGCTCGGCCCACTTCAAAGTGGGCGTTGAGCATCCAACCAACCTCTGTTGATCGGGGCGTGCTTCAGAGTAGGCGTTGGGTATCTGACCAACATTTGTTGCTCAGCCCAAGCGTTGGGCGTCCAGCCAACTCTTGTTGTTCAATCTACTTCAGAGTGAGCATTGGGCGTCCGACCAACTTCCGTTGCTCGGCCCACTTCGGAATGGGTGTTGGGCGTCCAATTAACTTCTGTTACTCGGCCCACTTCGAAGTGGACGTTGAGCGTCCAACCAACCTTTGTTGTTCATCCCGCTTTGTAGCTCTTCTACTTCGTATCACCTTCGTTAGGTTGATGTCCTTTTGTAATGAAACTTTAAGTTAATAAAGTATCTTCAAAATTTGCCAAGTGTTGGACTTGTAACTCGAACTTTCAATTTCTTCATGTTTATGTTGTTTGCCCTCAGTCGAGCAACAAGGATGTAGCCCTACATTGTTCGTTGTTCGGCTAGACTTCGCCTTATGCCTTTGAAAAATTGAGCTGCTCTTCCAGTCGAGCAATAATAGGGAAACCTTGCAAGATTTCTCGTTTGGCCTTAATTGAATTAGTTGCCTTGCCCCCAATCGATCATCATTGTTCGGCCGTTACTTGACTCGGTTACGTTTCTGTTTATCCCACTTTGGAGTGGAGAGCAAGCTTTGACCTAGCTTCTGTTCAAACTTCATTGGAGAGGGCTCGGTTTAACCTAGCTCTTGTTCGGTCCACTTCAGAGTGGCATTTGTTCAGCACACTTTGGAGTAGACGGCTAGGTTGAACCTATCTTCCTTTTGGCCTACGTTGGGTGGCCTCTATTCAACCCACCTCATAGTGAAAGACTAGCTTCGATCTAACTTCTGTTTGGCACACTTCAGAGTGGCCTTTGTTCATCGCACTTCGGGGCGGACAGTTAGGTTCAACCTAGCTTCTATTCGGCTTATATCGGAGTGGCCTTTGTTCAACCCACATCAAAGTGGTCAACTAGGATCAACCTAGACCTTTGTTAGGCCCACACTAAGGTGGTCGGCTGGGATCGGTCCAGACCTT